GAACATTTAAAACCAACACAAGTCTCATTAAGTGTCTAGTTTTAGGGTCTTACACAGAAGTATACCACACAACATGAATCAAGCATGTACTTTATTTATTTACATTAAATATCAAAAGTACATCAAATCAGATTGAAGCTAAAGGCATACAAAATTGCCTAACAGATAGTTCAAAGGGAAAGGATTTTGTAAATTTCCTTGCACAATTCCTTCACTGTAAGAAAAGTGGATCTGGCTGCTACTATTGCTAATCTTCATTGTTCAACCAGAAAGCAAGACCTTTATACAGAATCTTGAGATAAACGATCTAAGTATGGAAAAAGCAGCTTAAAAATATCTAGCTTCTTGCTTTCTATTCTCTTTTGTTTAGCCAACCAACCTAAAGGGTTTAGGATTTATTAGAGTGAGAAGGAAAATGGAATCTATCCCATATATTAATACAACTACCTCCATGTTTTTTATCAAGTACTTGCTTTTTCATTAAGTCAAGTGGCTCACATTTTGATGCAGTACAGGATTCAGCCCAACTGAATAGAGATTTACTAGATTGGCTTCTGACGATTCATCTCAGTTGTATTTACCAAGATAGGATCATTGTTGGATTTTTTTTTTATTTATCTATCTTAATTTGCATTTACCAAAGTATCATTTCAGCGAGATTTCTGAATTTGTATTCAATTAGGATTTTTTTTTAAGATACTTAATAGGATCCTAATAAGGAGTGTTCAATTAAATTAAGAAATTTTCTTGTAGGAGGCATAAAGGTGTAAAGAATTCTATATAAAGAGTAGCTAGGCCAAAGCTAGGAGAGTTTTGTTGATTTTCTCTTAATTATTCAATGAAGAATTCTTCTTCTTCTTGCTCTTTGGCTTTGATTCTTTTCTTTGAAACTTCTCTAAACATGACTTATTTCTTAACTACACCACATTTGTTGTAGTTTCACAAGGTGTATTTATCATCAAGATTTACCAAATCAGCTGTGACATGTCATTTTATTTCTGATTCACGTTTTTTGCTTCACGGTATAATTCATGACATCATAGATTTTACCAAGTTTTAATTATGAAACAAAAACCTCATTGAGCTATGCAAATTAATTCACTTCATTACCTACAGTCTTATCCTTTAAGAATGTCTTTGAATTTTAACTACGAGGCATAGCCAATTCAAGGTTTGGAAGAAGAAAAACAGTGTTGTGTTCCTCCATGGAGGTTTGTTTAACAATCGATAATTTTGAGAATTGAGATGAATCAGAGAGAAAGCAGGCTTTTGGTCTAATCTTTTTATTTGGCGTGAGATAGGTTGTATAAGGAATCCCATGATAAAGGAGTGTGTAAACAGAATTGCGCTGCACTCGGAAGTAGGGAGGATGTTGATGTAGGAATATCGGACCGACCTACAGATCTTAACACGTGGCATCGGCCGGATGTATCCTGGTCGTTCATCATCAACTACTATCAACCATTCCTAACTGCTCCTCCTCTAAAGTAATTTTGGCTATGAAAGGGGCTCCCACATTGAGGTAAAGACACACAGGCTTAAGCTCTTAGTTTTCTCACTTGCTTGGTCTAACCCCTCACAGCCCTCAGCTAACTTGACCGTTGAAGTCTTTGCCCTTGGAAAAACTCCCAGGGCCTTTGATGTCTTCTTTGTCTCAGTAGGTTAGACCCATCGGCCTTGAACACTAGAAATTACGATATTGCCCTCCCGTATTCAGCAGCAACAAATGTGATTCCCAATATGTGCAATGAAAGAACTACCACATTAATTACCATGTGCAATGCAATGAGTTTTGAGCTTTGAGTTTTTGGGTCCCGTTCGCTTTTCGGTAAATTATTTACCCGAGAAAGTGCATTTATCCATGTTCTTTTATTTCTCACGTAAATAAGACAATGACCATTTTAGCTATAAAAATCCATTATTAAAAAGTGTAATTTTAACCCATCCAAGTGTTGGCAACTTTGCCCCCAAGTGAGAAAGTTACTTATCCACCTGAGAGATGGGTATCACCTACCCCCTTTCAAAATCTAAAAAAAGAACATGGGTTTATTTGTCAATTAAAAGTTTGGAACTAATATCGCATTGACCAACCTTCCCCCCTCTCAAAATCCAAAATATGAACAGACCCTCGGTCTTGTGTTGAGGAATTAACTAGTAGAAAAAACTTCAGGGCCATTAAGAACATTTTGTGGGCATGACACATTATTATGGGTGTATAGTAAAAGAGTAATTATGCTCAATATTATTTTGATGAAAAAGAAAAGCAAGGGATTGCATGGGTTGATATGTCATGCCCAAGAACATTTACCTACAGTCCAGGCTAATGGAGTTTTCTCCCAGCTGACTAAGGTTAGCAGAGAGAAATCTTTGGCAATCCATGTTCAATAGGCCCTCTTACAAAACTTTAGATAGCCAAATTTTTTCATTAAGGCTATGTTTGGTTTGAAAGAAAAGGTAGGGAAAGGAAGGGAAAGACAGGAAAACCTATACAATGTTTGTAAAAGTTTCCCTACCTTTCCTTTCCTTTCCTTGCATTTTTCTACAAACCAAACATAGCCTAAGGGAATGGATCATAATATGAATGTAAATTTTCTTTTTCATAAAATTAGGAATGCACCTTCGATTTCAAGCATGTAAGGCCCTGTTCGGTTCACTGCTCCGGGCCTCATTTCTTTTAGTTCTTGCTCATTCTAGGCAAGAATGAATAACATTAGAGTGTTTGGTTACAAAATTCTTGCCATAGGCCACATTCTTTTTAAAATGAAAAATCAGTCCCATAGCACAAAAATTGAGTAACCTGCAATATGAAAAATAATCATGTCCCATCTTGCTCATTTTCATTCTTTGAGGAAACTCTACCTACAAAATTATTGCCATGAATGTTTACTTTTACAAATTCACTTTTATAAAAGTACTTTTACATGAAAGCACTTTACAAAAGCTCATATATAAAAGTAAATTTATGAAAAGTATTTTTACGAAAGCACTTTTACAAAAGTACTTTTATGAAAGCACTTCTAAAAAAGTATTTTTACATTAAAGCACTTTCACGAAAACACTTGTATAAAAGCACTTTTATGAAAGCACTTAACAAAAACACTTTTATGAAAGCATTTTTGTAAAAGTACTTTACTAAAGAACTTTTATGAAAGTACTTTTATAAAAACACTTTTATAGTACTTTTACAAAAACACTTTTGCAAAAGTACTTTTACAAAAACACTTTTACGAAAGTACTTTTACAAACATCTATGCCAACCGGTAAATATTAAATGTTGGAGACCTAGACTGGTGGTTTATGAATACCGGCACTTTTTTTTTTTTTTTGAAGAATGAAAATGAACAACATAGGGCACTTGTCAGTCTTAAAAGAATTCATTTTTAGAAAAAAAAAAAAAGTACTTGGTTCATAGCAATATTTTCTCATTCTGACTATTTTTACCCATTCTTGTCCATTTTAAAATTTCATCTTGGATAAGATTGAAAAGAATGAGAATTGAAGGAAACGTGGCCTAAGTGTGGACAATACGTGCAGACCCAACTCATTCATGTTAAGTGATAAAGAGATGTTATGTTACTAATTAAATACTACTCCCCTAGGTAGCCACCTTTACATAGGATAAAAAAAAAATGGGGGGTGAATGATAAATGCAGTTTTCACTACATGAAAATATTAAATGGGCAGCAATAACTATTTATTCCTTCAATCATGTGACGTTTTTATTCATTTCAAGGCGTGACAAAAATTTAGAGCCAGCAAAGAAGAAGCACATTTAAAAGTTCTTCATTTGATAAAAATACATGTTTCAAGTTTAATGCTCTTGTCAGGCTATGAGAACAGAGCTAAAACTGGTTTTGATACGTCTTTATAAAATTTGATCCTATAGACCTCTTGTATGTCGTTATATTACATTGAATTGAACACCTTCCTTGTCTATAACTGGGATCATTATTTTGTCATGGATCTCAGTTGAAGCAGAGGTGTTGCTTCAGTATGAACTTGATGCAGAATGCTTATGAAAATGACTTAACAATCTGATATACAGTAAAGAGAATGTATAATTTATTCAGCATCAGCATCCTCGGCAGATTTCTTATATTCCGGCTTAAGCTCATAAGTTCCTTGGTTTGTTCCCCTCTTATTGTAGACACACAATTCATTCAATATCTCTTTCAAGAATTGCTGCTCAAGAAAAGGGGAAAGAAAGTAAGAATATGCCTATATTTGTGAAAATTTAAAGATACATAATCATTAGCGATAAGACTTTCTGGTGGTTCCCTGCTATTTATCTTTTACATGCACAGTATATAATTTGGGAAAAGGAAAGAAAAAAAAAAAACTTGCAGCGCATAGAGGTCTTATACAATATATTGTACAACAGTTGAATCTTATATACTGTTAGCTATCCTTGGTTAGAGATAATTTTGCCTTGGTCTAGCTGCATTCTGGGCTTAGTATACTGTGATTCCTGTGATTAACATAATGAAAAAGGTCTTGAAAGTGCTTAGGACTAATTGGTAAGAGCTTTAGTCTCAACATTCTGGGGAAACTGGTAGCTCAGAGGGGAAAGGGAGGTTAACTCAAGGGCAGGTGAGGGAAGTAAAGAGGAAGTTGAGGAGAAAGGAAGTCAGAATGGAAAGATAGCTTGTTTGGTTCTTTAGGTGACAGCTTTTGGAAGCCGAGATATTATAACCAGATTACAGAATTAGGACACTCGCACAAAACAAAGGTGGGCAGTCAATATTTCCAATAAGCATCATGCCTCTTCTCATTAAGATGTCAGCTGTTATACATCTTCCTAATGCAGTTTTCCAAGCAAGAAAAGCCATCTTCAATGGTCTATATTTAGTCCAAATTTTAGACCAAGGGAAAGAGTTCTCCTGGCATCAAGATATCTTGTAATAGAAAATTGCGCAGAGAAATGTCCTGACTTTTCCCAAGCCCATTTCCTGTCCCTTTATTTCTAGCATTTTATTTGTCCTTTTAGGTGTTATGTGATTTTTCCAATTGAGATCAATAGCCTATTCAGACCAGTGTTGTAAGACTCGGATCAGAACAGACGGTTGGGCCATGAAAACAGGAAACATTGCCTTTCCAGTTCCTGCTTCAGTGACAGCTTTCACCAGTTGAGCAGGCTAATTGCCCAGTTAACCTGCAAAACCGTGACCGTGAGCATTCCAGCTTTTAGTTCAGTTCGAGTCTTATCGAGTCTTACAACATTGACTCAAACTCTTTGTCTATCCCCCTCAAAGGCAACAAGAGAAGTTTAGCAGTAAGAGTAGCACATTGGTTCAGGACAGCAAAAGATTTCCAAGAATTCAGTTTTGATGACATCACTAGGGAATGGAATATGGTAGCTTCTTGCAGGAGCTGAAGAGTCAAAATTGGAGTTTAATGAAATTTTATGTATTTCTGTATTTTGGGACAATATGGGGTATTTGTCATTTTGCAATTTTCTGTGGGGTCCATTGATAGGGTTTAATTTGTCTAGTTATAGTTTTTTATGTTTAAAATTTCAGAGTCATTGCATAAGTAGGATTAGAGTTATTGAGTCTTCTTTGAATTGAAATAGGATATGGCAACTTAGTTTGAGTCCTACTAAGATTATTGAGTCTTAACTGTTTGACTCCTAAGACTATTATTAGTCTAACAGTTTTGACTCCTAGGATTATTACAAGTTTAGAGTCTATAAATATGTATGGACATTTTACACAAAGGCAATGAATTATATTGAGTTTTCTTCTGTTTATGCTAGCTATGGTGAGTGATTCCCATGCCCTTTGAGTGATTCTAGTCACCTTGTGAGTGATTCCAGGTATTTTTCTCTCTACTTTCTCTCCCTATTTTCTCTCTTATTCCTTCAAGAAGCCATTACAGCCATCAACAACCATAAAATTCTGATCAAAGAAGACTAGTCAACATTCTCTAAGGACTAGAACTGAGCTAGTCCTACATCGCTTCTTCAACTAGGAGAACTTTAAAATTAAAAAAAAAAAAATACTATCTCGGTCTCCCCCTCAACCAATTTTTTTCAAACTTACCCCAGATAGCTGGGACCAACAGCGGGTAATGACCTCTTTAGAAACCGTTAGTAGTTCCAAGGTGATAAAATGACAGAAAGTAGACTAAGATGGTTTGGTTTCATGCATCAAAGACCATATACAATAGCCATAAAAAGAAGTGATCTGCTGCAAGTTGAAGGGGCTAGAAGAGCTAGAGGCAAGCAAGAAATGATTTAAGCGCATAAAATTTAACAATAGATATAGCACTAAACAGAACAGAATGGTGAAATAGGATTCATGTAGCCAACCCCGTATGAGTGGGACAAGGATTAGATGATGATGAACTTGGAAATCTGTAATGTTGGATCTTCAGGTATGGGAAGTGCTATTTATACATCACTAAGGCAAGGCCTTACATATCCATTTTAGGGCCACCTGGAAATGGAACTTCAAGATTGTAAATTGAAGGGGACTCTCAAGTGGTTATGATTTATGAAATGGATAGGGAGGAGATATCCCATCCTTAGATGATCTCCACTCCATCAGACAGGCAAGGGCTTTATTTCCTAGGCTGATCTTGAATTTAGATTGACCTCAAGGTCTGCCAATTCACTTGTAGATTCATTAAGGAAAGAAGTCTACTCTGTACTGAGGTCTGCCAATTCAAGTCAGGGCCAATTTGTTTGTTGGAAGCTACTGGTTTTCCCAGCCAGATTATTTTTTCTGCTTTTCTGATATTAATAAAATTAGTAATAATATATTTCTGATTACAAATAAAGCTGAAGGTTCATAACACTACATTTCCACAATGTTTGCATTGTTCTTCCGTTAATGATATATAGCATCCAAATCCTATTCAACTCTGATTAAAATCCAACTGATTAGATCCAAATTCAATTCAATTCAATGATTAATTGCATTGGTTTTTGGCACAGGTATACCCAATCCGGATCCACCTATTCAAAAGACCAATCTAGAAATGATTCCTAGGAAACTCTATCCCTCCTAGCCCTAGTTTAACCAAACCTCTTAGTTTTTTCAATTTTCCATTCAACCCTATATTGCTTGTGTCGGTTGCTCATGTCACCCATTTTGCCCAAGCCAATATTTTCTCCTACTCTATTTCATCACTAAGACCGAGAACCAATACCAACTTCTAGAGCTTAACCAATCAACTCTTTAAGCCAATACTTGACCCTAAATTACTAATTGCTGGAATAGCATTTCTTATAGCCAACACATTCTAGTGTAACTGTTTCAGACCCACTTGTCAGACACCATGTTGGTTTTACCGACCAAATATCATATTGATTTGAGAGAGAAATATATATGAGCAATCAAAGAACATACCGCTGGTTGATCCGTCTCTTGGACTAGCTGCTTCAGAGCCCAGTTAGGTTGCCTTTCAAAGAGCTTAAACATAATATCCTCCAGTTCTCCACGATCCCTTCTTGTTCTTTTCATGTCTGTTCCCTTTACAGGTGTCGCTTTCTTCTTATCCTGACCACATTGCAGCAGAAAAGCATCACATATGGGATTGCTGACACTAAAGACAATGTTATGCACTAATGCTCTTTTGCACACTCTGGCATGATTTGGAAAAAAGATGGAACAAATTGATTTCTTTGAACAACTTAACCTAGTTTTTAATAGGAAAGTTAATACTAGTTGATAAAAAAACAAGGAAAAGCATTCAATCATATAATAAAACTCAAAAATGGATTTATAAGTCACAAGAACAGGACATGCAACTTCTGAGCATCAGCAACACAGAAGAAAATGAGCAGAAAAGGTGTAACAGAACTAGTGAAAGGGAGAAAAGATAGAAACTGAGCACCTTAGAACCAGATGCCACTAAGCCAACCATCCCAGGCATTGGCCTCATATGTACTCCACGATCATTGTCAATTACCTATTCAAACCAAGAAAGTATTGAATCAAGGAAAAGGAGAAAACATAGAGATTACAGTGAACACAGGGAATAAAATCTGACACATTAACCTGTATTTGTCTAGTTTTAATCATAGATTTGTTTGTCCTTTCACGACATAATTTGCCATACTCCTCAATATTTTCATTATGAAGCTTCATATCAAATTTATGTTCCACCTTGCCTTCAATTGCAACCCTTCCTACAAGATAAAAGTTTCCTCTTCAATTGATTTACTAGCTACAAATGAAGTCCTAAAAGACTAGTCAAACGAGGGTCAGAAAATGGCAGGGATGGCATACATCTTATCATTGATGCAATTTGTCAGATGCACAATATTATTTACGCAGGTAAAGAAACATATAAGTAGATAAATAAAATGTGGACAACCACTTGTAATGCAATCTATATCAATATCCAAAGGCCTATATACCTTGTAACAGATAATATATGGCACTGAACAGAACGGAATGGTGAAACAGGATTCATATAGCCAACCCCATATAGTCAAGACAACGCTTAAATGAGGTTGATTTTACCTCATGACAGTAGCACTATAAGAAATTAGATATCTTTTCTGCTACATGGTTGATGAGATCCTCTAAAGCAATCATAATATAAGGGCAAAAAGAGCAAAACCTGAACCTGACCCAGATTTAGACTAGGTTGATGTCAGTGAACCCCACGAAACAAGTATACCATCCTTATCCATTTGCAGGAATTATACAAGCAAGGTCCGGGGAATGACCAAACTGGAGGCTTCCCAAACTGAAACCAGGTTGGGATTAGACACAGAAGCAAGCTTGCATGTTCACAGGTCAAGGCTAATAATTCACTCATTCATATTCAACTACAGATGGGCACTGCAATTTCTGGACCTACAAAACAAAGCAACTGTAAACTAAGGGTTTATAGGGATGTTAATGAAAAGGTAAAGTGTAAGGCCAACACTATGAAGCTTTTAATAAAAGAATCCACTAATAGGGGTGAAATAAGGTTTAAAAGGGACTTAAGATTACAGGATGTAGATGACAAACAGAATAGGACCAAACCTCAATATTCAAGAGAGGAAAATGATTAAGCCAGGGTGTATATGCATGGTGCCTTAACTTGTTGACCACCACTCCAAACCACAATAAATATATTATAAGCAATATTTACAATTACAAAAAAAAATCCCTAAAAGGGACTGAACAACAAACACAAACAAAAGCAACAAATAACTGCCTGTAGTACAATATACTATAATACACCATAATGGTATGAGATGTGAGTCTGTCCTTCAAATCTAATATAAAACTGATAAAATAAATAAGAAAAAGTGAGAAAGAAAGAGGGGTTACAGCAGAATAGAAGAAGAAGATGGAGAAGAAGAAGAGAAAGAAGAGAGTTCGATGGTTTTCTCTCTCCCTTCACTAATCTTTTATTAAACTTAATTAATCATGCTAATTACAAGTCTGCCCTTTAAGTGGGTGGCCAGAAAAGCAGTAACTTAAAAGAACTTAAAAAGAGGTTAACAAGCCCATTAAGAAAAGGCCCATTAACACATAAAACAGATATAGCATTACTTAAACATAAAAGAAATATTAGGGCCCATTCGGCCTAGTCTCTCTACACTCCCCCTCAAGCTGAGCATAGATGTCAATCATGCTCAGCTTGCTTATATAGTGTGTCAGCTTTCCTTTTGGAACACTTGTGGTCAAAACATCAGCCAACTGCTCATTTGAAGCAATAAATGGCAAGTAGACTTCCCTTGAAGCAACTTTCTCCCTTATGAAATGTCTATCAACCTCTATGTGCTTAGTTCTGTCATGCTGAACAGGATTATGTGCAATGCTAATAGCTGCCTGGTTATCACAGTAGAGCATCATTGGCTTTTCATAGTCAATACCCAACTCTCCCAAAAGTTATCTCAACCACAATAATTCTGACACTCCATGTGCCATTGCCCTGTACTCTGCTTCAGTTGAGGATCTGGCAACTACAGACTGTTTCTTACTTCTCCATGAGACAATGTTCCCTACCACCAAGGCCCAATATCTTGAGGTGGATCTCCTATCATTAATACATCCGGCCCAGTCAACATCAGTGTATGCCTCTAGCCTCATGTGTCCATGCTTGGCAAACTGAATACCTTTCCTTGGAGTACCTTTCAAGTAGCACAAAACTCTTTCTACAGCTGCTAAATGTGTATCCCCGAGAGAACGCATAAACTGACTAATAACACTTACTGCATAGGAAATATCTAGCCAAGTCATGCTAAGATATAACAACTTCCCGAGCAGTATCTGGAACACTCCCCTATCAATCAACAGTTCACCATTAGTAGCAGAAAGCTTATGGTTTAGGTCTATAGAGGTAGAAGCCGATTTAGCACCAAGTTTAGCAATTTCTGCAAGGAGATCAAGAACATACTTGCGTTGAGAAATGAAGATACCATCTTTAGATCTAGCAAATTCAATTCCCAAAAAGTATCTGAGATCCCCCAAATCTTTTATCCCAAAAAGTATCTGATAACCACAATGTCATCAACATAAACAACCAGAAAAGTCACCAAAGAGTTACTTCTCTTCACAAACAAAGTATGGTCAGATTGAGTCTGTGTATAACCAAAATAAATAAGGGCAGGTCTGAATCTCTCAAACCAGGCTCTAAGGGATTGTTTGAGACCATAAAGAGACTTCTTCAATTTGCACACCTTCCCTTGTTTTTCCTTTCCATGCACCCCTGGAGGTAAAGACATATAGACCTCTTCATGTAGTTCTCCATTCAAGAAGGCATTTTTAACATCAAACTGGTGAAGGGACCAATCAAAAGTAGCAGCTAGAGACAACAAAACTCGAACTGAAGTCATTTTAGTCACAGGAGAAAAAGTTTCAAGGTAATCAATACCATACATCTGAGTATAACCCTTAGCAACCAATCGATTAAACCTCTCAATAGTGCCACTAGAATGATATTTGATAGTGAATACCCATTTACAACCCATTGGTTCCTTTCCTTCAGGCAAGTCCACAATATCCCAGGTATGGTTCTTATGCAAAGCAATTAGCTTAGTCATCATAGCATCTCTCCATTCAGGTTTGGACAAGGCTTCTAGTACAGACCTGGGAATCACATGGGTAGAAACAGAGGCAAGAAAAGAATAATAGGTAGGGGATTGAAGGTTGTAGGACAAATGTTTAGAGATACAATGTGTTGTACATTTTCGCTTGCCTTTGCGAAGGGAAATAGGAAGGTCAAGGTCTAAGAAGGTAGTAGGTGGGTCAAAGGAAGGCTGACCTGTTACCTCAGTAGTGATGGGAGGTGCAAGAGGCTCTAATGAAGGAGTGGAAACAACTTGCCCATGCCTGAATCTTTGTCTTTGGTACCACCTTTGGAGAATAAGATGTGAGGAAAATATAGGAGGATGAGCTAGGGGAGGAGGGGGAGCAGGAACATGTGAGGTAGACACAATGGAAGGAGAGGCAACAGAAGACTCAAAAGGAACTGGAAGAGGAATAGCTGGAGAGACATAGCAAATGGTTCCTCAGAATGCTCCCCCTCAGGAGGAATACCAAAGAAAGGAATAAACTCAGCAAAAGTGACATCCCTAGAGACAAAGTGGGTGCCACGAACTAGATCAAAATAGCAATATCCCTTCTGTGTGGAGGCATATCCTAGAAAAATGCACTTATGTGCCTTAGGCTCAAATTTGTGTCTCTGATGATTATGAACATGGACATAGTAAGTGCACCCAAAAACTCGGAGAGGAAGAGAAAAGAGATCCTCATCCGGAAAGAGAAGGCTAAATGGGGTCTTGAAACCCAGAACCCGAGAAGGCATACAGTTAATCAAAAAAGTGGCAATAAGGACAACATCCCCCCAAAATTTAATAGGAACATGAGATGCAAAAATGAGGCATCTAGCAACCTCAACCACATGGTAGTTCTTCCTTTCTACTACTCCATTCTGTTGTAGAGTGTAGGAACAAGAACTCTAATGAATAACCCCAAAGGTCTCAAAGTAGGATGAGAGGTTCTTCTCAAAATATTCCTTAGCATTATCATATCGAAATATTTTGATCCGGGTGTTAAATTGGATAAGGATAAGTTCATGAAATTTTTGCACAATAGTTGGTACTTCATTCCGGGATCTCATGAGATAAATCCAGGTATAGCGAGAATAATCATTAATAAAGAGAATAAAATATTTTTAACCCCCCATAGTAAAAAAATGATATGGCCCCCACACATCAGAGTGCACAATATGAAAAGGAGAATTAGATCTTTTATTGCTTACTGAATAAGAATGTCTACAATGCTTCGCAAGTTCACAAGACTCACAATGAAGACTCGATAAAGACACTTTCTTAAACATATCGGGGAACAAATGACTCAAAACAGAAAAAGGTAAATGACGAAGCCGTAAATGCCATAACATGACTATCAATAAACTCTAACAAAACAGACTCCAAAGTAACTCCATTAAGTGGTTCAAGACTCCTATCAGGTATGTCTAGCAAGTATATTCCATTCACCTCATGGCCACTCTCAATCGTCCTCTGAGATTTCAGGTCCTTAAAAACACAATGGGTAGGAAAAAAGGTTATGCTACAGTTCATGAATTTAGTCAAGCTACTAATAGATAAAAGGTTGGTATTAAGCTCAGGGACATGAAAAACAAAAGATAAAACAAGGGTGTCAGAGGCCTTGATATCTCCTTTGCCAGAGATGGGAGCAAGAGACCCATCAGCAAGGGATATCTTCTCTCTACTAGAGAGGAGCTGATATGAACAAAAGAGATTAGATAAACTAGTCATATGGTCTGATGCACCAGAATCAATGATCCAAGGGTTAAGCTTGGGAACATGAAGAAGAGAGGATAAAGCAAGGGTGTCAGAGGCCTTTATATCTCCTTTGCCAGAGATGGAAGCAAGAAACTCATCAGCAAAGGATATCTTCTCTCTACCAAAGAGGAGCTGATATGAACAAAAGAGATTAGATAAACTAGTCATATGGTCTGATGCACCAAAATCAATAATCCAAGGGATTTTATGATTACCTAAAATCATAGCATGATTTGTAGAAGCACGAGTACCTGAGTGAGCATATGTGGATGATGAGGTGTTGCTTGAAGGGTTGGATGCTGAAACAGTGGTCTCCAAGTGATTAAGTAACCTCCTGTACCTTTCAAGCTCTACCTTTACTACTGCTAGTTGCT